GGGGATCGAACCAGCGACCTTCTGGTTCCAGGACGACTCMCCTAACCACTCCGCCACAGCCGCCCCACAATGCTTTGCTTATAAATAAAATGGCCCATCCGTGTTAAAATATATTTTAAAAAAATTACAAAACTAAACAGCCTACAGTATTTTTACAGTCTTTATTTTACAGTTAAAATAAATGTTTATTAAAAAAAGTTTAATGTTACAACTAATCGTGGATCCCTTTAAGGAACCCTGGGCAAAATTCATCCTCCCCCAGTGCCCTGCCACCGAGGAGCTTTTTAACCACCTAAGTGACCTCGGCACCAGAGATAGGAGAGTCCGACCCAAGGTCCTCAGGCTCTGCTTCCTCATGGGAAGACGAGTCGGTGGGATTGAGGAGGTCTTCGAAGTATTCTGCCTCTTGTGGACCAGAATCGCCTGGAAGCCGTACAGAAGTCTTTTTTCATGGCCTCTCCGAACTCCTCCCACGCCTGAGTTTTTGCCTCAGCAACCACCCGAGCCACAATCCGCTTGGACTGCTGATACCTATCGGCTGCTTCCAGAGTCCCACATGCCAAAAAGCCCCGATAGGCCTCCTTCTTCAGCCTGACAGCATCCCTCACCCCCGGTGTCCACCAGTGGGTTCGAGGGTTGCCGCCATGACAGGCACCGACAACCTTACAGCCACAGTTCAGGAAAGCCGCCTCGACAATGGAGGCATGGAACATGGCCTACTCGGACTCAATGTCCCCCACCTCCCCCGGAACGTGTTTGAAGTTCCCCTGGAGGTGTGAGTTGAAGCTCCGTCTGAAGGGAGACTCTGACAGATGTTCCCAGCAGACCCTCACAGGGCAATGAAAAAACTGTCTGTGCTATAAAAGAAAAAGACTTTGTAGCACTGGTGCGACAGCTTTGGAAGCCGCTTTTTTTTCTGTCCGTCCGTAATTTTTGTAATGCATTAAATTCCCACATACAGTACAATAAATTCTAGCGATGTGTTTGATTCGGACTGTTTTAAATGAAAACCCGTTCCGTATAAACCTGACTCGGTTAAGAAGACGCACTGAGGAGAAGGAGGGGGGCTTCCCCCGCCTCTGTACCTCGGAGCGAGGCAGTGACAGACCCGTCAAAAACTTTGAGACTTTAACCGTAGTCCCCAAAAACAACTTAAATGCACCATCTGTGTTTTAACAAAAACTCTCAGAAAATACCAGCCGAAGCTGCTCCAGTCGCAACTTGTGCTAAAAACTCTGAACTTCCTCTCCGCAGTGCTCTGCTGTCTCCTCACTGTCACACACACACACACACACACACACACACACACACACACA